GGCCTGGTTAGTTCTCTCTCCCAACCCTTTTGCGACGATGTTTTAAGAAGCTACCTCCTTTCCTCTGTTTGGTTGTCAACACAGGAATATGTTATCACACTTTCTCATATGAGGATAGAAAGTCAGACCACTTATCATTAATAATAATTTCTGGGTCCAGCTGTTGTTGGTTCGGACGTTGATTGCTTTTCTTGATTACTGTCAAATTGGCATCCTTTTTCTTTTTCTTAACGTGAAATAGAATTCTTTGATCAAGGTTTGATTTTTGTATTTATGATTGTGTTCTTTGAATTGCCATATTCTTTTCTCATCTCTACTCAATGCCCGTTTAATCCAGTTTTACTATCGCCATGTTCTTTGAGATCCCTGACATGTCCTAATTATATCTCCTTTTACTTTTGGATGCTTTGTCCGTAAATCAGTTATAATTGATCATGATTGATTATGTGAATGTGCACACATGTACAGTTGCCGCTGGTTAGTCTTCAATAAATTTCCCCCAATTGCTGCTACAAAGAAATTGTTTATCTGCTTACTACCAGAGTCGTTGAGGACACATGTTTTGTTGTGTTGCTTTGATCTTGAGGTCTGTATATTGGGAGCTTAGTAGTTCAGCTTGGTATTTGCATCAGCAAGAAGTGGAATTTTGGTTCGATGCCACTGTTATCTCTTCTTCCTGTGCCGGCAAAATATATGCATTATTGCATACTATGATAAATGAAAGACTTTTCTTATTCTCTTGTAGCGTTGTCCTATGTGCCAATCCAAGGACTATTTTCTTATTCTCTCATTTTTAATTTAAAGCAAGATCTTATGGATCTACCTTGGTGCTTATATTTATGATTTGGAACTTGGTTATTTGGCAGGAGAGGCACACTCCTTAAAAGTTGAGAAGATCTTATTTCAAGGGAAGTCTGATTACCAGAATGTGATGGTCTTCCAGGTACAGGAGGCTTCAGCATATTATGTTTTTTTCCCCTTTATAACCTTTTCATGGTCCTTTCTCTATTTACAATGCAATACTGTCAATTTTTTTTTTTTCAGTCATCATCGTATGGAAAGGTTCTTGTTTTGGATGGTGTAATTCAGCTCACTGAAAGAGATGAATGTGCCTACCAGGAAATGATCACACATCTTCCTTTGTGCTCGATTCCAAATCCCAAGAAGGTCCTTCAATAATTCCAAAATCTTACTTTATGAGTTGGTTACATTTTTTGTCGCCTAATATTTGGTGGTCAGCAAGTTGTTCAAAGTACTGTGAAGTAGTATATGAATTCTTATCTCTGTATCCAGAGTCTTAGAAGAATTGGTGACAGGGTTATGTTATTAATCTATCCATGGCATACTGTTATTTGCAACACCACTTGTTATGTTTAGTTTTGCAACATTAGTTTCATTTCCTATTGATTTGTGCCTGAGTTTACCACATCCTTTTACAGGAATTTTGCTGAATGGCAATAGTTTGGGTTAAGGCTCACACCCATGGAATTAGGAGAAAACATTTAATACATGACTTTCCAGAACCATTCATGGTTTCTGAAAATAAAATTTAGGGGGAATAATGAACAGAGACATGTTTGAGAAGTCAAATAGGAATAAATTTTGCATTGGGGAATGATTATCTGGTTATATTGTTTTAATTATTATTTTCCTCTCTGTGATTTTCTTTCTTAGGTTTTGGTTATTGGTGGTGGAGATGGTGGGGTCTTGCGGGAAGTTTCACGGCATTCTTCTGTTGAAAAGATAGACATTTGTGAAATTGACAAAATGGTAGTTGATGTGAGTAACGACTCAGGCTTCTACTCTGTCTTTTCTGTTTTCTGAGCATAGCTAAGCCATTTTTTAGGCAGGCTGCTAATGCATTACTTCACTCTTCGTCATATTTTCTAAGCTGAGCGGCATAATTCACTGAAGTAATATTACTTATAACATGCTGATCCTTTTCACTTATCCTTGGTTTGGTTGGGGAGAAAATTAGCGAGGAAAGAATAATGAGGGGAAACTCCCTAAAATAGTAAAAGAAATATACTATTTTTGGAAGTTTGCCCTCAAAATATTCACTCCTCCCTATTTCCTTCCCATTCCCCTCCCCATCCAAACCAATCCTTGGTCTCGAAACAATTATATTTTTGAGCTGAGGCTTCTGGCAGCTGCATTCTTAGTGTTAAATTAAGATCTCATTAGTACAGGTCTCCAAACAATTTTTCCCTGAAGTAGCTGTAGGGTTTGATGATCCACGTGTGACACTTCATATTGGTGATGGTATGATTAACCACATATTACTTTTCATAAATACTTTTTCTTTTTGGAGAATTTATCTCATTGTTTCATGTCTCAATGATCTAGGAGTTGCATTTTTGAAAGATGTTCCAGCAGGAACTTATGATGCAATCATAGTTGACTCATCTGACCCTATAGGTATACATCTTGCAAAATTTTGGTTCTTCAATTGCGATTCGATTTGTTTTCTAAACGCATGTGATATCCTTCAGGTCCTGCTCAAGAGCTTTTTGAAAAACCCTTTTTTGAGTTGGTTGCTAAGGCTCTTCGTCCAGGAGGGGTTGTGAGTACGCAGGCTGAAAGCATATGGCTTCATATGCATATTATTGAGGGCCTTGTTGCCAATTGTCGCCAGATATTTAAAGGCTCTGTTGACTATGCTTGGACTTCAGTTCCAACATACCCTAGGTACTTTTTGTTTGTTTGTTGTTTGTTTGTTTGCTGTCTGCATGACTCCTTGCATATTGATGATATATTGGGATAGTGCAACTTTTAGTCCTTCACATTTAGAGGAGTTATCGATTTGGTTCTTCAAGTGTAATTTATATCCTTTCAGTCCTTAACATTTGCTTCGCTTATCAAGTTAATCTTCTAAGTTTTGCAAGAGAAATTAACCCTAAAAAAAGTTTACGTGTAAATTAGCTTGTTGATGTGGAATATATACATGGATTAATTAATACACAAAAGTCAAATCACATAATCCTAATTGCTGAGATATTATTGATTTTATTATTATATAATTCCTAATTTAATCTGCGTGGGTTTTTTTTATTTTTAATTTATGTGGCTTTTTTTTTTTTCCTTATCCAAGTCAGCATTTTTGCCTCCGACATTATTACATGATTGCCATATCATCATTTCATTACCTATCTTAGCATAATTTAATGGTGTTAATTTTCTCATGAAATCAAGGACTACTTAGATAAGTCTATAAAATGTTAAGGACCGAAATAATAGAAATTAAATGGGAGGGACCAAATCAATAACTCCCTCAAATGTTAGGGACCAAAAATTGCATTATCCTATATGTTATTATTTTATTTAGACAGAAGAATTATTTGAGTCCTCCAGAAATGTATGAGCCTTCAACTTTGCTCTTAAAACTCAAATATCATCATTTAACACCAAAACTGTTTATATACCCATCTATATGATCATGGCTTGAGCTGTTCCCAAACATCAATTCAGTTCATGACAGAATGATACTGATAAGGTTTTAAAACATTTTGAAGTAGAATAAGATGGTGATTTTGTTAGGGACCCAAGTGATAGTTTACTCTTAATTATTCTGCTAGGAAAAGTTCATTCTAAAATTCGACTTGACTTTTTTCTTTTTACTTTGCTTTACCTCTTTATCTTCCCAAGATGAGAATATCCTTGTTGATGTTTTTATTGGTTCTTATCAGTGGGGTGATTGGTTTTATGCTGTGCTCGACCGACGGACCTCCTGTTGATTTCAAGCATCCGGTGAACCCCATAGATGCAAACGATAATCAGAAGTCTGTAAGACCACTGAAGTTTTACAACTCTGAGGTGTGGTTCAGTTTCAACCATTTTCTCATATTCATGTTTGTATTTTATCCCTGTACTGCTGGACAATCCTTATATGCACGCCGTATGGTTCTTATTTTCAGATTCATGCTGCGGCATTTTGCCTTCCATCGTTTGCCAGGAGGGCGATTGATTCTAAAGCAAATTGAGAAGATTTTCCAGATTCTGGAGGACCATATGTGGCCGTTGATGAAAGCTACCTTTCATTTCTAACTAGAGTGGCTTATCTGTCAATGAATCATGAAACAATTTAGGGCCTGAATTTAACGTCAGCGAGTAAGACTTATGCAGAAGATACTTGGAATGGGTTTACCTTTATGTTTCTTCATAAAATGTTCGCATTCTTATTCAAATAAGAATGTAACTTATGATTTTCTATACCTTACTTGTTATTGGCTTGATAACAAGATGGTTAATCAATTTTTGTATTCTGTTTATCATCAGTATGTTTACTCTAGAAAAACATTCTTTTTGCTTGCACTTACCCACACCCACAGAGAGATATAGTTAGACAGACAGACAGACAGAGAAGATTTTCTTGTGTTGGTTTAGTCTATTTAATATTGGGGAGAATGATATTTAAGGACCCTCTAAGAACATTATTTACAGTTAAGTATCATGAAATTTTGAAATTCCAAAAAAAAAAACCATAGTCTTTAACTGGAATTGAAATTTTTCTGGGTTAATTTTTTTCAATAATCATCTTCTATATTTTTAGCACTCCACGTTTTCAATACTTATCTTTGACATTTTCAATACTCAGTTTTTCAACTTTTGGTAGTCATTTTATATATTTTCAACACTCATTTTCTTTCTATGTTTTCATTGTTGGAAAACACGTATCTTTAATTCTTTTCAGTACTGAAATTATAAAAGATGAGTATTGAAAACATTTAAGGTGATTATTGAAAATGCTAAAAATGACTATTGAAATAAAAGATGAGCACTGAACAAAATTCAATCATAACTAAGGACCATGGTCTTTTTCTAAAATTTCATAATTTTAGGGTTCTTAATGGTAACTAGCCTTCTTAGAAGGTCCTTAGATGTCATTTTTTCTTGATATGGTTTAAACTTTGAACTAATTTTATAAACAAAGTTTTGTGAGCCAATGCTATATTCACCTGGGAAGGGAAAATAGATAGAAAGCACAGCTACTAGCAGTCAGTCCTCCTTTAGTGTTAAGGAAAAACGGAGATTATTGATAAAGCTTTTGCAGCTTATTTATAACAATAGAGATAACATGACTGATTACTCATTGCCAAAACAAAAGAGGAAAAAAGAAAAAAGGTATAACTCATTACTCTCATTATACAAGACTAGATGAGAGTAATTGCCAGTAGCCTAATCCTTGTTCTTATCTGAACATGTTGGCCAGCAATGAGCTCTGTCATTCATGAACAACTGCAATATCTTTGCCCAATTCCTCATCAACCACCTTCTTCAAGTTCCTCTCCTTGCAGTCATAGAAGTAGATCATACAGGCCACCCATTTCAGCAGATTTACCACACAGAACAAGCCAGCCTGTACTATGATTCCATTCCCACTTTTGTAGCATCCTATATGGAGGCATGGAATCCTCAGAAGGTGTCCCCAAGCAAAGAAAGGAAGCATCAGAAATAGCCCTCTTCTCTGACAGCCTCTGTTGAAATACCCAGAAAGTACTAATGCATCAATCCCATGCATCCCTTCCAATATTGAGATTACAATGCTCATGTTCCACATAGCACTCCATTCTAAATACTTTCTTAACAGTTTTGCAAAACCCAGACTGCAAACTACTGCAAATAGCCCATAGAATCTGAAATATCTCAACACAACGAAGTAGTTGATGACTATATATAGTAATCCAAGCAGATGACAGTTTGTCAAGAATTGCACAAATATAGAAGTGACAAATGTGCCTCTCAAGTTGGACATGTCAAAGGATTTTTGAAACATGTCCTTGAGAGTCATTTTCTTCTCTCCTGAACGTAGCATTGATGCCAAATCAATAGTAACAATTGCAGAGCAGAGATCTAGGAGATGGAGAGGCACCAAGTAGATCAATCCAAGTTGAACCAACTTGAGCACATAATTTTTGCTGAATCTTCCAATGATAGAGTCTGTAGATGAATACTGATGATAATAACGCAAGTAAGCAGGTGGTCCATTGAGAATTTCTGAGGTTTCAGCCAGAGTTTCTTGGAGGGAAGTTTCAAAGTAGAACGTCAAACAGAAGAGTGGAAGCGAAGTGAGGATGGTGAACATGATGAAGTTGTGGTTCTTGAGAAACATTCTAACAGTTTCCTTTAGGATATCAAAGACCTCGACCTTCTGCTTCTGCATAACTTGTTTGCTTTCACTCTCCATATCTTTCTGAGATTTCAAATTCCAAAACCCAAATTCTGATGATGCTCTAACAAGCGAAGCTTAACGCCCAAGTGCAGATTCATACAAACCGATGACTTGCCTTGATTCTTCTTTTTCGGGGCAAGACTTGAGTTGACTTCACAAATCAGACTTAAGGTAGAGACTCGGACTTTTCTTTGTGGGCACTCGTGAGTGAAGAAATTGGCGACCCAAACGAGCCTCAAGTGCGTTGTTCTGCACCGGGGCCACGATCCTGGTCATTATTTCAAGGTGCGTGCGTTGACTATGTCCATTTCATTTTGACACTATCAAGAATCTTTAGATATTCACAAAGAAATAACTCTTTGAGAGATGAGGGGATTAGCAAAGGAATCTTGATAAATCATAGTTTTTCCTTAGTTTATCTCATATTTATCTAGATTTTTGGATTTAAATGGATTTGTTTTGCATTATTGCATTTGGTCTTTTGGGAAAATTTTCATAAATATAGGAAATTTTGAGGCAAAATATTCCCTATTCTTTGAATTATTTTCCAAATTTTAAAATTGAGTTTTGGACAGTTTAATTTAAAATTTTCAAATTGTTATTCGAGGGAATTTTAAATTTAAATTTAAAATATAATATTTTCCACCCATTCTCTCTCGTCTAAATTAATCCCCATTATATCCTATCTTGCAATTTCTTTCCTACTTTCCTTTATGGCACTACTCCACACAGCTTATTTTTATGAATATTGAACAATTATTTTTGGACTTTGATTATGTTATACCTTTTTAGGTTATATTTAGAGAAAATTTACTCAATGGCCTCAAAAAATACAACTTCCATAAATTATGGAAGAAGTTTTTGAATATTTTAGAATATGGCCCATTCAAAAATAAATTAGATGCGTTTTTACTACATTGTCCTCAACTCTGTTCGGTCTTTTTTATTAAAATAGGATATAACTGATGTTATTTTGATTTGATTTTCCTTGATTTTATTTCTCCATCTATACGGTTAACGTTTCTTATCGTACTGCTTGCCTCTCTCTGTTTATCTTCTCTGTTTTTCCCAGATATTATCATCACATTGAACAGGAAACTGCATTATCGAATAGAAATTGTCTTGTATTCGTTTATCTAGAGGTTGAAGAGAATCATCCATAATCAAATTTCTATCATCTTCATATATTCAGGTAATATATCCATTGAATCAGTAAATCATCTGTTCCTAATCTATTTTTTGTTGTCATTGATCATGCAATTTGCTTAAATTTTGAACACAAAACATATTATTTTCTCACTGTTCATGATTTTTTATTTTTTATTTCGGGTATTTGATTTTCTATGATCAGTTAAGCTGTCTGTAATTTTTTTCGAACCTAGTTTGATCTGAGTTGGGTGAAGGAGTATGGCATTTTCGTGTTTCTGATTAATGTTAGTATATCATTGATATATTATAGTATCTCATTGATAAGTAATATCAGTGTTAACTTACCAACACTATGTCATCTTGTAGATATGGGGATGCTTAATCTGATAATTTCTTATGATGGAAAATGGGATTTGAACAACCGTTACATTGATGATTCATACTTGGAGGTGCTTGTGGAAGATACAACTTTCTATCTTGATGTCATGGAAATTGTGTATAAGAAATTGCAGTTGAATGCAAGTCATGAGATCAAATTGATGGTCTCTTTTGATATTGAAACTTCAACATATAGTATTTTAGAGGTGAAGAATGACAATGATTTGATATGGTATTTTAATTTGCTGAGAAACTCTAATCTCTTTAACTTCTCGTTGATTGTCTCTATTTTCAATGGACCTTTTTCCATGCAAGAAGTGTTTGAACCTTGCCATGAAGGAGAGAGTTCCTTAACTTCATGTTCTTCTACATTTTCCAATAACAAGAATTGTAGCGGACCTGCTGAACTTTTACAAATGGACGATATTAAGGAGGGAGATGCATTCTTTAGCAAATTGGAAGTCCAAAAAGTTCTGCAACTGTTAGCTATGAAGAGGAATTTTGAATACAAAACTCTGAAATCAAATGGTCAAAGGCTTGTTGTTGCTTGTAGTGTTGATGGTTGTAAGTGGTACGTACGGGCCTCAACAATTTCTTCTACTCAAGTTTGGGTCATTAGACAGCATGTAAAAGACCATACTTGTGCTGTTGACGTCGTGCGTAGTGACCATAAGCAAGCAACAAGCCTTATCATTAGTGAATGTGTGAAGCAAAAAGTTATTAATGGAGAATGTAATGACCCAAAATCAATAATTAAGCACATGTGTAAGGAATTTGGAGTTGGTGTTAGTTATTACAAGTCATGGAGAGCAAAGGAACTTGTTTTGGAAGCAATTCAAGGTTGTCCGGAGGACTCTTATGCCCAATTACCTTCCTTGTGCTATGCTTTGAGTCACACAAGTCCTGGTACGTATTTATCATGGATATACATTCGTTTACTAATGATATATTCAGGCAGTAATTGAATTAAATATATTGTGTTATTTAGACAGTAATTATGTTTTGTATCCTACTTTGTTGTCTGATTATTAATAATATGACACAGGTACTGTTACTGATATTGATGATGGTGGTAATGGTCGTTTTAAATATTTCTTTGTATCATTTGCTGCTTCTATTGAGGGATGGAGCCATTGTCGACCAATTATATCCATTGACGGAACTTTTTTAAGGAACAAATATGTGGGGACTCTTCTAATTGCATGTACTATGGATGGAAATAATTCAATCTTTCCATTAGCATTTACAGTTGTTGACTCAGAGACTGATGCTTCTTGGGAATGGTTTCTATATAAGTTGAAGAGTGCATTATGCTATTGTCAAGACCTAGTCTTTGTTTCAGATAGAAAAAGTAGTATCCCAAAGGCTGTGTGTAATGTATTTTCTAATGCTACCCATTGTATTTGTGTATAACATTTGTTGGGTAATATAAGAACAAAGTTCAAACACCCTTTAGTTGCCGGTATCTTCAATCATTGTGTTAGGGTATATAAGTTTTTTGATTTTGAATGTGAGATGAAGAAATTAGATCAAGTGGCACCTGGCATTCGTGATTACCTTCTAGATGTGGGTTATGAAAAGTGGTCACGTTGTTATTCTATCAGGAGACAGTATGATATTATGACTTCTAATATATCAGAAAGCATGAACTCTACTTTAGATGATGCAAGGGACCTACCGATTATACCATTGATTCAGTTTATTAGGAACAAGCTCCAGGACTGGTTTTATACACGAAAGATGCATGCTAATTCTATATCTTCTCATCTAACACCATAGGTTGAAAAACAGTTGTCCGAGCAAATAGAGCTTGGTAGACACATGGAGGTAACAACTAAACCTATCTTAATTGATATACCATTGTATATCATTGATATATTGACGTTGAAACTTATCGTTGTTATATTGTATTGCATTTCTATTGTAGGTTCAACCAAATGATGTAAATGAGTTCACTGTAGTGCATGGCAAATCTAGTTTTATTGTTTACTTGGAGACTAGAAGTTGTAGTTGCAGGAAGTGGGATTTTGAAGAAATTCCTTGCTCTCATACTTGTGCAGTGATTAGCAAGCAACGACTTTGTGCATATACTTTTGTTTCTAGATACTACACAAAGTATTCATATGGTTGCACATATGGGGCAACAATTCATTCGTTAGGCAATCAATGTGATTGGGCAATTCCTAGTGAAGTGCTTGAAAACAATCTAATGCCACCAGAGATAAGAAGAGGTGCCGATAGGCCTAAGAAGACACGAATTCCATCGGTTGGCGAGTTTAAGAGAACTGTTAGGTGCAGTCGTTGTGAGCAATTTGGACATAACAGAGCTACTTGCAAGAACCATATACCTATTGGAATTAACATCCCAAAGAAGCAAAAGACCATAGTTGGATCTACTAGTCAAATTTAAATTTTTTTTTGGACATTTCAGATTTATTTCAGTCTTTCCATAAGTGAAACTTAATGAATTTGAATTTATTTTTGATTATTCATATGTTTTGCGTCATTTGACATTGCTGATGAACAGTGATTTTTTTGTTGTACATATATAGCCATAATATTTTTTCTTTTAATCTTTTGTAAACTGTCTTTGGAGATAGTTTAAAAAATTATAAGAATTAAAGGGAAGCACTTTAATTCCTGTGTATAAGAATAAAAGCAATTTTTAGAATTGTGCATAGAAGCCTTTGAGAGGCACATGGTAGCACATGCGAACGTGGTAGCATGTATGCAACATGCAACTTAAAATACCCAACGGAGGAAACAAAAGAATGATCAATATAGAAGTAATCATAAAAGATTCATATTTTATCACCTGGAAATTAAAAGTCTGTTTTCTTTGGTCAGTTCAACTAGATATATATCAACAATAAACAGAAATATGTCAATGATTAAGAGCACAATTCATATTGATCATCTATTAAAGGGAACAAAAGACTAAAATTAACCGAAATACAAAAGGCTAAAGGTGCATCAACTTCATTAGTCCTTCAACTTTTATATAGTTGGTTGAGTTAGTAACTCATAACTAGGACTGTCATATTGATCATCCTCTTTTTAGTCTTTTTTTTTTAGCTTTACCCTCATCTGTTGATCTGTAATTTACGGTGAAAGGAGACTAAAGTGCAGCAAGTGTCTTTGTTGACCTCTTAGGCCTTTCAACTTTCATCCTATTAGCAATTTTCTTGATTCCTACCCTTTTTTGTTGGTCCTTTGGAGGTTCAACCATTTTGTCGGCCTAAAAAAACAAAGAACAAAGAGTCAATAGCTAATGTATGCTATAAAAGTATACTGAAACTATATAGCACTGGTCCTTTGTTGTAATGTATGTCATTCATATTTAACCCTATGAACTATAACAATCAAAATATGACTAAATATATCATTGATGTCCAACAGTACAGCACTGATATACATTACTATGATGTACTTTTCCTATATAATCTTCAACAATGAATATGAATCACATTATCAACAAATGATATTTTGATTTAGTTTCCCATATGAAGTATAATTTATACCTGCTTCTTTTCCTCCAATTGCTGATTGGTATTTGTTGATTCATTCGGGTGGTAGCCTTCTTGTTCGTTACCTCTCTCAACATTTGAAGGCATCACTGACATTGGTCCCTAATCAAGTCAAAAGCAATATGAAAAAATTAAAACAAGTAACAGTTTAATATAGGTGGAATTATAACATTTCAGCCACATGAACTATAATAATCAAACATATGACTAAATATATCATTGATATCCAATAGCATAGTACTGATATACATTACTATGATGTGCTTTTTCCATATAATCTTCAACAATGAATATGAATCACATCATCAACAAATGATAATTTGATTTAGTTTCCCATATGAAGTATAATTTGTACCTACTTCTTTTCCTACAATTTCTGACTGGTATTTGTTGATTCATTCGGGTGGCAGCCTTCTTGTTCGTTACCCCTCTCAACATTTGAAGGCATCACTGACATTGGTCCCTAATCAAGTCAAAAGAAATATAAAAAAATTAAAACAAGTAATAGTTTAATATAGATGGAATTATAACATCTAATTATAGGAAACAAAGTAAATCTTAACTCACTTGGTTGTTTTCCTCTTTTTCACAAAGATTATCCTCACTCACGACAACCTCAGCATTGATAGAGTGGGAGAGATCATCAACATTGTTAACACTCTTATCTTTGTCCCCACTATTTTCTTGTTGTTTGACAAGGATGTCAAACATTTTTTCTATCCTTGATCGTATCTCTATTTGACTTTTTACGATCTCAATTTGTCTTTCTTCAATCTGTAGCTGCCGTTTCTCAACCATCTCAAGCTTTTTGTATATTCTCTCACTTTTTGATCTAGAAAGTGAGCCTCGCATGCTTGTTTCTAGGTCATCATTGTCAGTATCTTCAATACTTAGAGGTGACACAGTAGATGTTCCTACTGCAGCTTGAGTTGCGCTCTTCTCTCCTACAAAAATGTGCATATAATCCTTTTCCCATTCTTGATTTGTGATGACCAACTCTTGTATTTTCAACTGTAAGATCCAAAATAAAATGATACATGATGAGTTACAGCTGCTAATTAATGTCAGATGCAAGTAATAGCTAGCAATTTTTCAATATATATTAGATATAAAAAAAATCATATATCACTGATATACACGTATATAACACTGATATACCATTATATAGCATTGTTATACAAGACAGTGAACTCCACATTTTTCATTTTCCAAAAATGCATATCAATTGCACCCATTTGTATATGATTGACATATAGTTACAGAAACTAGTAAATATTAAATGATTTACAAAAAGTAAACATGATCACGTTCTTTGCATTCTTTGCATTGGACATACTTAAATACAAGATAAATATAAAATTATGAACATACTTACATTCTTTGCATTGATCACGTTCTTTTCAAGTTGTGACCACTCATAATAATCATTCGTCGTCTAGTTCAATATCCTTGGGAGTGCGTCTCTTACTTTTTCAGCATATTTATGCTTTTTCAATGCCGGTATCATTTCATATGCCTAAGCAATAATGGCATATGAGAATCCTCTAATCTAATAATTGACACTAAATTTATTAATTACATCCTTGAAGGATTCCACAGTCATGTTGTAGCACACCCTTCCCTATGGATATTTTTCAAACAAGTTATCATCTTCAAGCAACTTGTAAAACTTGTGATCAATGACATTATGATCTTGCTTTGACAAGAGCATGTTCTCTAAACAATTAAGTTTTACTAACTTGACAAAATCAGCATCATTGTTTGGGATGTTGCCTCTAAAGACAGAAAAGACATCCTTTCTTTTAGGCAATGTGTTCTTGACTTGAAAGAATTTGTCTATGAAGGTTGTGATAGGTTTTTCACTAAAGTCCATAGCAAGTAAAGGATTACAATTTAGGCCAGTAACGATTGCAAACTCCTTTAATCCAAAGGTTAGCACTTTTCCTCTAATCAAAAAGTATAACTTGTCATCCCTTTCGCCAGGGCATTGGCTTCGAACCAACCAATGCACTAATCGCCCTGGAAAAGCATGCATTTTTATGTCTAGTAGGTGTCCTAGACATCCTTCTTTGAATGTTTCAAGCTGCTCCTCATTTAGTTTTTGGTTTATTATTTCAACAACTTCAATCTTGCTACCATGCAAAATTCTCTGGTGAGGATTCCAGAGTTCCCTATGGACTATATATTCTCTTGTGCTTCTTTGGTCTTGACTTATATTCTCTATTACCTCTTTGTCTTTCCTACGAACGGCCCTTGAAGTTGTTGCCCCTGATATTTTAGAAAAGTGTTAATATATTTAAGTACTAGCATTGATGAATCAAATATAAAAGCAATGAAAAAAATACACTTCACAATGGTATGTCTTTGATATAGGTACATATATCATTGGTGTGTTAATGCTATATCATTGATATATTTATCAAAAAAGGAACAAGAGATGTCAATTATATACTTAAGTATCAGGTAGAGGTTGTGTCACACAAACCGAAAAGAGAAGCTGATAGCAACTTGGACTTTGGACTTCTTGACACAAAAAGGATTGTTGGCCAAATATGCAAAACACAACCATAATAGATCATAGTAGAAAGGGTTCATCCAAACATGATCAGAATTTAACAGTTAAAATACTCATATGTCATGTTAACAGAAAGATATGCCACCGACAAGTGCTGGAATAATTCTTTATGACAGACTAAGTTTGGGAGACAAATATTAGTGCAATTATCATATGAAGCGTTTTATCATATTTATTTGGCGACAGACAACACATACATTTATCTATAGAGGTTAAGCCACAGAAAACAGCCACTCAAGACAAATAGGCAAGTAAATCAGGAAAATAGATGAGCACTAAGGATGAATGCAACAGGAAATAACATGCTGACAACTGTACAAAAAAAGCGTATAGAGAAAATATTGGGGCATAAATCATGGGATTCTTTTGATGAAATTTGTGCACTTGCTGTTACAAGAAGCCATGATCTTAATTGATTGATAAACAATGAGTTATCAGGGGAAAGAGCAAATCATAATATAAATAATAGAACATTGTAATTCAGGCACCTTCTTTTTACATTTGGCCCACACTCGCACCTTCAAACAATGAGTTTATTATGAAAAAACCCCACTAACCGCACCTTCTTTTTCAGGTTGTCATTTTGGCTAGCCAAACCATGAACACAAAAGTATCCCTCAGCCAATAGGAGTTTATTTGACAACCAAACATCTCACTTAAGCAGATCATCAACTTGAAGTCGTGATGAGTAGGCTACAAAATTCCAACCAGAACTACCGGCAGGTGAGTGATTCATAAACTCTTTTTTTCCTTTTTTACCAAGGACCGGGAGGGAAAGGACAGGTGACCTTTTGTATTACAAAATCTTTCTATTTTACCAGGGACCGGTAAGCAGATTTATCAACAGAGACCCAAGAAAGACCTCCCAACAATCGGCTAGTTAACTTCTTAGATTGGTTTGATTTGACAGAATATATCAGTGATATAAAGAAAAAACCTGGTGAAGTAGGACGATTCTTTCTCTTTGGCGGCATTGACGAAACCCTCACTTGAACTCTGCCTTCAGTAACAGAGTATGACCGGCAACCCACCCTCAATCTGAAGCTTTAGCGTGGCTTTGTGTAGAAGATGTAGTTCTGAACTTTCTCACCTCTTCGTAATTTTTGACCTTGAATCTATAGCAACTAGTCTGCCTGCCTCTCGTTCGTCTTTGTTAGTAGATGAATATACAGAGCTTCGGTTTGCCTCTTCTCACGTTCGTGTGGTCTTCTTTTCCAAAACTGTAAGTCAGTTTTTCGTCTGGCGTGAGCTTTTCCGATGGTTGCTGTCAGTTTCTTCGTCTGACCGAGAGCGCAGTGTCGTCTTTCA